TCCTAGAGATAAAGACGAATTAATGATAGTAAGAAGTGGATCTATGACCTCTGGAAGCATCTCTTTCAGTAGCTTAGTCGGTATAGGGTCTAACATACAAGTTGTCGATTTAGATGATTTAACGAGTTTAGAAAATTCTTCCTCTCCTATGGCAACAAATGAATCAAATTTTTCCTCAGGGAGACTACAATGCACTTCCTGATGCGATACTGTGGTAGACGGTTGCATAGTTATTAGGGATGCACGATATAGGATTTTGGCCGATATTCGATATGCCGATATTTTCAAACTAATTTTGCCCGATGCCGATACCGATACCGATATAGTTGTATTTTTTTTAAGTGCAAAAAAAGCTTATTAAAGCTTCTATTATTGTTCTCAGTCAAGAGCAGTGAGTGATTTCCTCTGTGTTTTGTTGTTTTATTAACATTAACGGGATAGTTCTCCCAAAAATTTAAATTGTCATCATTTACTCTCTCAAGTTTCTTTCTTCTGTTGAAATTATAAAAGTTATTTGGAAGAATGTGGCTAACCAAACAGTTGCTGTACTCCAGTGACTTCCATAGTATATTTAAGCACAAGAAAGAAATGAATCCAGGTTTGAAACAACATTAGATAGACAGAATTTTTATTTCTGGGTGCAGTATCTCTTTAAAGACAAGCGGCAGAATATTATTACTGTCTCTTTAAGAACTGCACGCGAGTAACGCGACGCGTCTAATATACACGCATTTGACAAGCAGATTTTCTCAGTTTGCTTTCACTTTAGACATAACCAACTTTGTTTATGTAAACCTTGTGTGTATTTGACAGTATCAGCGCAATAAGGCTCGAAAGATTAGTCCAGTATGCAGACTCTGTGACAGGCTTTAGTTCCTGTGAGTGTCGGGTGTAACGCGCTCAGAAAAGCGCATGTTAGAACAGCGCATCACCACGTGAATGACATGTTTACCTAGCAAGACTTTGACGCACATGCAAACAATGAACTTTTGTGAATTGCGGTGTCCCGTGAGTGTAACTCTACCTCTGCGTTTACATGTGATGTGATATGAATGTACGTCGCGTTGTACAGTATGTTGAGATGAAGGCGCCAGAATTGAACTGATAGAATGCACGATACTATGATTTTTCTTCAAAAGCAGATAGTGGAGACATTTTAATCGTCCACGATCAAAAACCGTGAGACGCACGGCACACCCCTAGTTGGAAGTTTAAGTTGCTGGCGCTCATGCTTCGTTCACGGTCGTCACGTGCGCATAGGAAACACGCCACCCTATCGCAAGGCTCATCGGCAGAAATATTCATATCGGCCGATGCCGATGATGGTCATTTTAAGCTTTTATCGGCCGATACCGATGTTGTCCCGATATCATCGTGCATCCCTAATAGTTATAATTTTGTCCCTGATATTATCGATCTTATAAGTGAAGAAGTTCATAAAGTCATCACTGCCGTGTTGCTTTGACACTTCTGAGCTTGAAGCTTTCTTTTTCGTTAGTTTAGCCACTGTTTCAAATAAACACCTAGGATTATGTTTATTTTCTTCTAATAGGGTTGAAAAATAAGCAGATCTAGCAGCTTTTAAAGCCTCTCTGTAAGCAATCGAGCTCTCTTTCCATGAAATCCGAAATACCTCTAGTTTAGTTTTCTTCCAGTTGCGCTCCATTTTTCTGGCTGCTCTCTTAAGGGCCTGAGTGTGCTCGTTGAATACAGAATACAGACATTTGAATGATTTACACAAAATTACAATTTAATTCACTATGGCTGTTGATATGCGTCATATTGATATTAATACAACAAGTACTGTGGAGGAATAAAACACAACTCAATGCATAAATTATTTTATAAAAGGTTTTATTTGTTTATTTGGCAGCTAAATTGAAATGCATCAGATTGTATAACATGGTGTGTGTGTGATAGACACTGTCCAAAAGAGAAACATCCGATAACACTTTTCAGCATCTGATATAAATAAAAATAAGCAGTTATTTCTGACAACCACACATGTGAAGATCTGATGAACGCAGAAGATTTCCATTGCCAACGCTGAGCGCTGAACCACAGCTGGATCTGAAGAGCCCAGGAACGCCCAGGAGAACCTCCAGAACCCGTCCATATCCCCGTCGCTCGGCTTCATCTCTCACAGATCAAATGCATCTGGTGTTCGTCAGAGCGAAGAGCGAACGGCCTAAAACACAGGACTGAAGGCACGGTTCCTCAGGAGCCCTCGTCTTCATCAGTGACATCATCACTTACAAATCTGGCCTTTCTTCAACAAAAATGACCTTTAAACAAGAAGCAACAATAACATAAAAACAACTAATCTGCGCTAAACTACATTATCAAAAGGCCAATAGTCGGTATATTGCAACTCTCTCCACTATCATCATCATGCATACAATGTCACTTCCTGTCAACGGCCGCCTGATTGGCTGACTGGGTCATGTGACACACTGGCATCTCGGAGGGCACAGAACGGGCGTCTCTGTGAGGGGAAGACGTGCCGCTGGAGAGAGAACGACCCACGCCAACGGGATGTGCATTTATGGAATATACATTATAGAAATGCCAAATGCATCATATCTCATATGCAGCAGGAATATATATATTATAGAAATACCCAATGCAAAAGCTAACTAGTTTGGAATTTAAGGAGCACAAGATAATAACCAATGCATCATATATTATATCATCCAGAAATGGCAAATGCATGTGAAGAAATATATATGGAATATGTTATAGAAATGCACTAGTTTGGAATCTCTAGAATAAAGAAATGCATTTCGCTGATAATATGGAACTGGTGTTATAGAAATGCCAAATGCATGATTTATAACTAAAGCATAAACAGAATGAGTCTTCTGTAGAGTCTCTCTCCAGCTAAAGCGAACACAGCAAAACCCGACCCGATGTTCCCCGCCGGCACGAGCGAGCGCAGACTGAATCATGGGAAATGATGAACACACCGCAAACAACGCTTTTCTTACTGTCTCGTTTCCAGTCCAGATATCTAAAAATGTCCTGTTTTCTGGGGGAATTAATCAAAATTAAAACAAGCAGAACGATCTGCCAATGGGAAAAATAATCTTAATCCAAGATTATGTTTTTCTGACCCCATTGGCAGATAGTTTCGCTTGTTTTAAGCATCAACTCACTTGATTTTTATTTATTTCCCCAGAAAACAAGACTTAATATCTTATGGCATTTCACTCCTTTAGTAAATGCATCTTGATTTAAGAAATGTTTGATATTTGGACTGAAAACAAGACAAAAATACTAAGTAATAAAATAATTTTTTGCGTTCGCGCAAGTCACCGTTTGGCAGCGATTCTGATTCAGTGATTCAGTGACTCAGGGATACAGTGACTCAGTGATTCAGTGACTCATTGATTTAGTGACTCATTGATTCAGTGACTCATTGATTCAGTGACTCAGGGATACAGTGACTCAGTGATTCATTGATTCAGTGACTCATTGATTCAGTGACTCATTGATTCAGTGACTCAGTGATTCAGTGTCTCAGTGATTCAGTGTCTCAGTGATTCAGTGACTCATTGATTTAGTGACTCATTGATTCAGTGACTCATTAATTCAGTGACTCAGGGATTCAGTGACTCATTGATTCAGTGACTCAGGGATACAGTGACTCATTGATTCAGAGACTCATTGATTCAGAGACTCATTGATTCAGTGACTCAGTGATTCAGTGTCTCAGTGACTAAGTGAGTCGAGTGAATCAACTCTCTCCTGGTGGATCTTCCACAACATTCCCATGACGTGATTCCAGTTCTGCGCGTCGTCACCTGACGGAGCGTTTGCATATGCGTGTGCGCTTGTGCTCGTCTACGGCTACAGCTGTGGATTGTTTTCCTCTCGGTAAAGTGCTATAAGAGACGCCACAGCCAAACTCCTTCGCTTCTAAACACCAATGATTGCGAATCCAGATTTCTAGAATACAGAATAAAATTAAGGCAAACACATCTGAGACATGAACTGAAACTACACTAGTAATCTAGATCTATTCTCAGCTCTGGTCTGGATGATGGGAACTAACTGGTTAATCCCAGTCCAGGACACACACACTCTCTGTGGACCGATCATATTGTAATATTAAAAATAGTGCAATTTTAGACATTTATATAAATAACTCTAAAATCGTGCTTATAAGTTTGCTTTTTTTAAGCTTTCCATATACATGTCTATATATTTATATAGTAGCCTATATACACACACATACACACATAGACTAACGCGTAATGTTGTTGGCAAACGCTCTCTCTGACGGCAAACACACACACATCCGAATAAACGTGTGGATATTGTGCATCTAATGCAAAACTAATGATGCGTGATGAAGCATCTTTACAGAAGAAGAACTGAAGACGAGAAGGAAAGAAGAGTTTCTACGCTGGAAAACATGAGCTTTCCCAGTTTTCCAGCAGAAGCATCTAAACATTCTCAAATCAAGTCTTTAAGCGAGATAAAACCCCAACACACATCTGCCAACGGCGTCGAGAAATACAAGAAACACTCGCTTTCCCAGTGAACTCAGTGTGTTTCTCAGACTCCACCAGCAGAGTTCTGCTCTTGTTTTAAGCTAAACTCATTTTCAGGATTTACAGGCTCAATATCTTCACTCGTTGTTGTAGTTCTCCAGTACGTGTCTTGATTTAAGAACGTTTAGACATTAGTGCTTGAAAACGAGACTGAGGAAGAGCGTCTTCTCCGTCTCTAGAAACGAGGAATAATCCTGCCAATCTTCTTCCATGTGTCGTAACTAAGAGCATCGAGGACACAACATGTACACATATATATATATATAGAAAGGTCTGAGTGAAAAGGCAAGACCGGAGTGAATCCGTACGCTCTCGTGAGTCTCTTGTGCAACTGCCCGGGTTCCCACGACCGCTGACCTCAGACCTGCTGTGTGTAATAAGCTATATATATAAGTTTGTCTCGTCTGCATGAGAAGGCAAGACCTCGTGAGTCTGTTCTCGCGTCGGCCGCTGACGTCATCAGACCGGCTGTGCGTGGAGCTTGTCTTTGTCGCGCGTGTCCGTCCGGCTGATCTGGATGAGCTGCGTGTGTGTGTGCGGCCCCGGGTGGTAGCAGTGACCTATGACCTCGCAGTAGGCGGGCGGGGCCGTGATGCGGTCGAACACGGTGCGGTTGGGCGGCGCGCGCACGGACTCCCGGTTCAGCTCCCGCTGTTGCTCGGGGTCCCGCAGCTGGAGGGAACACGGGCCCTGGTACGGCGGCGGCTCCTCCCCGTCCGACAGCGAGATGGTGGGCGGCAGGTCGATGGTGGCGTGCGGGAGGTACGGGTACGTGGGCTGGAAGCGGCTCACACGCGAGCGCTGGAGGGACGAGGGCCGAGGACTGTACACCTGCTGGACAACAGAGGCAGAGGACTGTAAACACACCACATGCACGTTCCCCCCGGGCAATCAATGTTGTGCATTTTCGGTCAATAACATTTTTAATATTTTTTGTGGGAATTTAGTAGTAATAGTTATGCATTCTTTTGGCATATTGTGCATTTAAAAAAAAAAAATTTGTTCAATAATATTTGTAATATTTTGTATTTTCAGGGAATTTTATGGTACTAAGTATTATTTATGCATTCTTTTTGCATATTGTGCATTTAAAAAAAAAAAATTTGTTCAATAATATTTTTAATATTTTGTATTTTCAGGGAATTTTATGGTACTAAGTATTATTTATGCATTCTTTTTGCATATTGTGCATTTTTAATGCAATTTTATGACATTTTTGTTCAATCATATTTGTAATATTTTATATTTTCAGGGAATTTTATGGTACTAAGTAATATTTATGCATTCTTTTTGCATATTGTGCATTTTCAATGCAATTTTATGACATTTTTGTTCAATCATATTTGTAATATTTTGTATTTTCAGGGAATTTTATGGTACTAAGTATTATTTATGCATTCTTTTTGCATATTGTGCATTTTTAATGCAATTTTATGACATTTTTTTTTCAATCATATTTGTAATATTTTGTATTTTCAGGGAATTTTATGGTACTAAGTATTATTTATGCATTCTTTTTGCATATTGTGCATTTTCAATGCAATTTTATGACATTTTTGTTCAATCATATTTGTAATATTTTGTATTTTCAGGGAATTTTATGGTACTAAGTATTATTTATGCATATTGTGCATTTCTAATGCAATTTTATGACATTTTTGTTCAATCATATTTGTAATACTTTGTATTTTCAGGGAATTTTATGGTACTAAGTATTATGTATGCATTCTTTTTGCATATTGTGCATTTTTTACGCAATTTTATGACATTTTTGTTCAATCATATTTGTAATATTTTGTATTTTCAGGGAATTTTATGGTACTAAGTATTATTTATGCATTCTTTTTGCATATTGTGCATTTTTAATGCAATTTTATGACATTTTTGTTCAATCATATTTGTAATATTTTGTATTTTCAGGGAATTTTATGGTACTAAGTATTATTTATGCATATTGTGCATTTCTAATGCAATTTTATGACATTTTTGTTCAATCATATTTGTAATACTTTGTATTTTCAGGGAATTTTATGGTACTAAGTATTATGTATGCATTCTTTTTGCATATTGTGCATTTTTTACGCAATTTTATGACATTTTTGTTCAATCATATTTGTAATATTTTGTATTTTCAGGGAATTTTATGGTACTAAGTATTATTTATGCATTCTTTTTGCATATTGTGCATTTTTAATGCAATTTTATGACATTTTTGTTCAATCATATTTGTAATATTTTGTATTTTCAGGGAATTTTATGGTACTAAGTATTATTTATGCATTCTTTTTGCATATTGTGAATTTTTAATGCAATTTTATGACATTTTTGTTCAATCATATTTGTAATATTTTGTATTTTCAGGGAATTTTATGGTACTAAGTATTATTTATGCATTCATTTTGCATACTGTGCATTTTTATGCTATTTTATGCAATTTTTGTTCAATCATATTTGTAATATTTTGTATTTTTAGGACATTTTACGGTACTAAGTAATATTTATACACTCTTTTTGCCTAATTATTATATATTTTGATGCAATGTTTTGACATTTTTGATCAATCATATTTTTAATATTTTGTATTTTGAGGCAATTTTATGGTACTAAGTATTATTTATGCATTCTTTTTGCATATTGTGCATTTTTAATGCAATTTTATGACATTTTTGTTCAATCATATTTTAAGTCATGATGTGCTCGTGCTCCTCTCAGGCTGAAACACCACAGATGTATGTTTTTTCCCGTCACAGTCTTTTTTGCATAAATACTATGCATTATTTTTGCATATTGTGCATTTTGAATGCAGTTGTTTGCCTGTGCAGTGACCCGCTGCTCACTCCTCAGAAACAACAACGCAAATCTATGTTTTTTTCCCCAGTAAAGTCCATGTATTGTATTTTTGGTCAATGATATTTTCAAATATTTTGAATTTTGTGGGAATTTT